TCTATCCATTACCTATTCAAAAACAACTATAATCTTTTGTTTTTATGGATTTTATTATGGATCTTTGAGTCTCAATTTTGTATGATTTTATTTTTGTGATAATATATCATTTTATAAAGATGACACATTTTATATAATGTAAAAAATCTATCATACATGAAGAAATAGCCAAGCTTTTTTTTGACAATATCTATTGATATCATGGATTGCCAAAGGATATTATATTGGATATAGAGAGTCAATTTGTATCAAGATTTTGGAGAATTCTTTTCGAGATTATAAAGGTAGACATAAAGTTGTCTTCAGTCTTTTATCTTCAAAGTGATCGACATACAAAGTGTATAAACTAAATTTTGGAACAATACTTAAGGTGTACGAACAATTATCAATAAGATAATTGAAGAATCCTCTTGCCATTCTTTGAGTTTTTTTATAATAATATGATGCATTCTTCTACATAATAAATATCTTTTTTTTATCAATTATAGTTATGTAATTATTATTTTACTTATTCTTTACATATCTTCCTGGAATAAACCTATAAAAGAGAGTTTGAATACAAGAAAAGACTATCCACATGAATTTACACATTAGGATCATACAATTAATTATCTTTTGATCTGCTAAAAACACCTAAGAAAGCTATGATGCCTTCTACATTCTATCAATTCTTCTTTTAATAAATAAAATATTAAAATTGATAATTCAATTCTATACATTCATTGTCTCTTTTCTTCTTCAAATTTATAATAATAATATATAATACTGTACTATCTTAAAAGAGTGCATAAAATATTCCATAATCCAAGCAATAAAATTTTCCAAAATTAACTATCATTCCCAGTAATTTGCTTTATACAATTCCAAACTCCACAATTTTTTTTTGCAGAATACTTTCAAATCTTGATAATCAATGTATTATAATTCTTCCATTCATATCCATACTTTACAAACATCTTCAATTATTGACTTTCCAATTCTCTACTTATAATTCAGCACACAATAAATTCAATTTTTTATTTGATATCATATAAACCAAAATTTTCTTTCATTATAAAATTTTACTTCATATTATTCAAAATCTATCTATTACCCTTTTTCTATAAAGAAAATAAAAATAAGATGTAGTACCAAGTTTACCCCGGCTCATGACTATCACAATTTAGTCCCATCTACTTCTTCTTCAACTGATTTATACTTACTCCAAAATAAAGATTCTAACCAATATTTCTTACTTAACCACTTTTCTTGACTATATCATCCATCCTACCTCCTAAATTGATTGCCCTATGGATGATTAATCAATTTTATCAATATCTAACTAATGTCCTATAAAAACCAATTTTTACCCGTTCTATAGGTAATCATCTATAACTTGATATTTTTGACTTTTTAAAAGTTGATAATCCTACAACAAAAGATTTGGCAAATTCTTTGTCTGAGCTATATGCAAAAATGAAGGAGAAATTAAAAGAAGCTCAAGAACGACAAAAATTCAACTCAGATGCCTATCAAAAGAAACAACTATAATTTAATGTAGGTGACAAAGTATGATTACTTTGTCGTAATATTAAGACTACTCGTCCTTCTAATAAGTTGGACTTTTGTAAGCTTAGACCTTTTCTTATTTGTGGACAAATCAATCTAACTACTTATTGATTACATCTACCAAAGTCAATGAAGATCTATCATATCTTTCATGTATCTCTTCTTGAAGCATACAAGACTGTAAACATACCAAGAAAAAGATAAGTCCCACCTCCTCCTATAGAGGTGGACAATAATGAAAAGTTTAAAATAGAAGAAGTTATAGACTCAAGGCTATGCTAAAATAAATTAGAATATCTTGTCCATTGGTACGGATATGATATTAATGAATGCACATGAGAGCCAGCAAAGAATCTTATATATGCAGCAAAGTAGGTAGATGCTTTTTATCAACAACATCTATCAAAACTAAGATGAAGACCTTTCCTATAAAAAAAACAAGATTCAGGTAAGATAACATTCTATTTTCTATACTTGTTATAACTGCTTTGTATTTGTCACACTGAGAAAATGGAAAACCAACAATTAGTGGATTCGACTTAAAAGCCTTCATTTGCTGACCTAATTATATGGCACACACACAGTAAACTTGTCTTGTAAGCTAAGGCATGTATCTTATAAAGTCAATACATATTAAAGGTCCTATAGAATGTTGCTACATAGCTCTTACTTAGATAGTATATATAGAGGCAAGAGTAAAGTTTTATTCACTTTTGTCAATTCCTTTCTTGCTTCTAGTCTAGATTCAAGAGACTCTAGTTTTCTTGTCTTTTGGCAATAGCCATTCCAGTTTCTTTTTAATATATATACTACTTTATTTCTATTTTTTCACTTTTCTGTTGATACAAATTTTTCAGGCTTATATATCTTTTCTAATTCATGTCTTTGAAAACTAATCTATTTCAAGTATCTAAGATCCTTCTAATCTATTGTAACATAAAACTTCATTACAAAGTAAGACAAAGTAGACAAGAATAAAACTAAATAAAATTAAATAGAATAGGACATGCAAGACAAAACTAAACAAATGGAAATAGAATAAAATAAAATTGAATAGGAAGATGCAAAATCCAACTTTACTAAGAAAGAAGGTTTAAAGTCATACTTGACCAAATGCCTCAAAAGGCCCTGGCCAATCCTATTTATACTTTGTTCTACTACCTTGGACTTTCTAGAATGTTCTTAGATAATAGACCTCACTTAGATAACTACCTTTAATTCCTTCTAGAAGGTTCCATAGTAGATTCCATCTAAAAAACCATCTTGAGCCTTCTCTAGAAGGTTCTATGGTGGATCCTACTTAAATAACCACCCTAAATTCTTTCTAGAATGTTCCATGGTGGATCCTACTTAGTCTATTAACTTAACTCTAATTCTAAAAACTTTCCTAGTTCTAACTATCTATCTCTACACAAATATTTTATCTATACTTTGTTACATCATATCTTATTTGTGAAGAAAAAAGATGGATTAATACAAATATATGTAGATTAATAATGACTCAATAAAATTACCATCATGATTTGATATCTTTTATCTTTAATATTAAAACTTTTTAATTAATAGATAATTAAATTAAATAAAAATATTTATAAAAATAGATCTATAATAAATATATAATATTTTAATTATTAAAAAATAAAATAAATAAAAGAATTTATTTTGAATAAAATATGAATATTTTGAATATAATATCATACATTTTGGACTCACAAATGATTTTTTTTTAATATGTGAAATAAAATTGAAGCAATAAATAATATTCCAATAAATTTCACTTATAATCTTAAAATTTAATAACTTTAAAATTAAAGCTCAATTATTAATTATACTTAATTAATTAATCCTTGAAACTTTTATCTTCTACCATCAAACTTCTCAAGCAAGACAACTTTTGGTTTTCTTTGGCTTCAATAATGTTCTATTATAGGAGAAGTAATATAATTTGGTGTAGATGTTGAAGTGGCTCTTATCATCTCTATAACTTTATTTTTATTCCATCTTATTGTTCTTTGTGGTGGTGAATTAAATTGATGGATTGCAAGTATTAATTTTCTCATTTGTTCCTATATTTGTGCTATTGCATCTTTCATTTTAACAAGCTTCACCATAATAATACATTAAAAAAAGATGATTAATATAACTTGCTACAAGTTAAAGAGAAGACTAAAGAACAAATAAAATTCTAAAAAATATATTAATTTAAATCAAAAAATTTATAACTTCTAATATTCTTATGTCTAATTAAAGAAAAAATAATATATTTTTAATCAAAAAAGATAAAATTCTAACATTATAAGTATATTCTTGTTAACAATAGTAAGAAAGGCTTCACTCTTTTTTTATATATACTATTTAATTAAGAAGCTACATGGCAATGTTCTATAGGTTATCTGACATTTGTCTAACTTGCAAAGCAAGTTTCTAACATGTGCCCTACTTAGCCAACTTGTACTACAAGTAGACATGTGACTAACTTATAAACAAGTGGTTAACATGCACAATATGTTGCCAATTAGTTTTCAACCTATTAATTATTCACAAATATTTGTAAAGTCAAATCCATGTCTATCAAATTTTTAAGAAATTTATCCACAATATATTATCAAATTTATCTATTTTACTTATGAAACTTTAGTAATTGGTGTTTTTTACATAGTTTGAAAATCAAGATTCTTTCAATATGATATTTACAAAAATTTAATTAACAGCAACAACACTTTTTAATTCGTCCATAAATATGTTTGCAACCTTACAATGACTTCTTTTTTCAAATAATTATGTTTTAATTCCTTTTTTTAATACATATTACAGAGTCTAAACTAATTAGTATGCTAAATATATCTATAGTACAATAAATGTGTCAATTATAAAATGCATTGCTAGTTTGACCAGTTAATTACATAATTTAAATTCAATGCATCTTTTTCCTCTCATGTTCTTCTATAATGACCTCAAACAATTTAATAGGGTATGTTTTACACTCCCGATCACAGCATGGCCAGATCGTAAGAATCCACCATCGCCTTGCATAAGTTCTGAATCACAGGTACCAGATTTCACTAGTCTACGAATACTTTCTTCTTTGTTTTTCATTTGAATCCACTAAAGGAGATGTTTGGGCCTGAACAAGGTTATTCGAGTGGTGAGTGCGAAAAATTAGGGGAAAACTGCTAGTTACGAGAAACAGCACGCACCCGTCAAAGAGAGATCAACATTATCAACAAACCGAAATGCCCTTTCGACCTTAAGTTCGATCCACATGACTATAGATGTACGAGGACTACTAATTCCTGCAAATTGACCATTCCCCGGCTAACTCTACAATCTTCCGCGACAAATGTCACATTCACTGCAGGGAAATGTCACTGCTTCGAACCTCTTCAATGCCAATACGAAATTTGCACCTTTACAAAATCAGAATAATGGACAACCTGAATAGGACGCACAAATCTGTACAATGTCTGCTCAGAGCATTTTACTCAAATTTATGTTACAAGTCAACCGGAACCCATCCACGGACAACACTACTTATTTGTTGCATGAAGTTGTGAAGGTGTTTCAACACGGCACTTGCTTTTGCCGCGTTTGCTTTGCGGCACTAATTTCTATGTTCGCTTTCTCACGCTCCGCTGGCGGCAAATTATAGAACAGCTGCCCAGTTCTAGTCTCCCACTGCAATATAACATCAATCACCAATGTACTAAGCGAATCAGGGAAGCAGTAGATGCCGTCGAAGCGAAGCAAACACAAAGGATTCGCTTGATCAAGTCAATCAGACATACCGTTGTATCAAAGATCACCATGTTCCGTAAAAATGTTTCATAGAAGGTCATGATCATAACAGAGTAAAACTATTGGAGGTATTTATTACTTACCTCTTTGATGTCCTTCACCGGATGGATTCTGGGCTCATATTTGGGCTTCGGTCGAAACTTGCGATTGTGCTGAACACGAGAGGGATCAAAAGTTGAGTCCAAAGTAGAAATATGATTTCGAACATCAATTCGCCCAATCACATTCAAGTACAGGTGCAGGATGATAGAAAAGTCTACATTACATGTGCAGCGATATGCGAAAAGAGATAAGGGAACAATCTCAGGATTTTGTAAATGTATGAGGTGATGCGAAAGAGCTGTACCTCTGCTAGTAGGGCAGCTAGGTCAGCATCCCCGTTGACGATTTTACCACCCATTTTTTCCTCTTTCTTATCGCTAACCCGAGCTCCAGAAACAGTCTTGCTAGCCTGCTTCATGCCGACTGAGGAAAAAACCGGCATGCTTGACCGCAAGGCGGACTGCCTGCTTCCCGCTTTATGAAGATTCTGTTTGCAGAGAATGAAACAGATGAGAAACACAAATCCGCAAGTGAAACTTCTCAAGTTAGAGAAATGTGACAAAAACCACATAGATGATAGAGAGAATTTCTTGTCAAGACAACATACCGTTACTGGACCAGGAGTAGCAATCGTTTTCTTCCTAGTCCCATTCTCTAACCCTGATACACTTTTCCTAGCTGCAGATACAGCAGTGGATGACGCAACTTTACTAGAACCTGCTTTCTTTATTTCTACAACGCTACTACTGCATGGTTTGGGATTAGATCCTCCGTTTTCTCTCATGGCAACCCTTGCATGGGCAGCGAATGTTATGCTCGGCATACTCATCCTCGTAGCGGACTGGCAACTCATTCGGGGCGATGCTGCTGATGGTTCTGCTAGAGAACGAAAAACACATGAGTGTATGAGCCAGCGATTGAATACTTATCATGGCGGCGGCTAATCCTTGAATGAATTACTGATAATCTCAGAACGTGCATCGAGCTCTGAAGCTACTAAGCTTCGATTGTAACTTAAATATGCCCAAGGAATAATAGCTAGCAAATTGTCGTGCGCCAGGATTTAATCCGGCTTAGTTAAACACAACAGTTAATGCTCAGTGTATCTCGAAATTGAACTGTAGCACCATCAACTATAAAGCAACAGGTCTATTTCAGAGAAACTATAAAGGGTCCGAATAATACCTGGATTGAGATTTGTCTTGTTTGAAGAGTCTATACTAGCATTTTCTTTACCTCGCTTACTGAGGCGACTAACTTTGTCTACTTTACCACCAAGTCCACTAGAACGGGAGCTGGGAGATTGAGAAGTTCTTGAGGCTTGCTTTTGATGCAGCAGGTTTCGAGACGATGTAAATGTCTTCTCTGTCCCACGGCCTGAAGTATGGTCAAATGAAAAGGACCGCCTGAAATTCATTTTTGCACGAGCTGCAACGACTTTAGTTGAAGCCTGTTCAAGATCCTTTACTTGGTTAAATGCAACCTTCCTACCAGGATGATGGTGTGGTCTGCGCTCATTGGATAGAGCCACTGCTGGCACCTTGACATCAGCGAACTTTTCTTCTGGCTTAGTTTGAACAACTATCAGGTCCACAGTTGATGGGCAGTCAGTTGCTACTTTATCAAGCTTCAGAGACGACCTATCTACCTTTGCATTAGAAACTGGAGGAACTTCAGAAACTTCATGCTCGGAATTGACGTCTTCAACCGCAAGATCGTCACCGACTATTACCCGTAATGCAGGCCCCCAGCTTTTCCTCATTCTACGAATATCATCAAACGCTTGAACAGAAGAATTGGCACTTGATTCATTGGCAAGTTCCAAACAAGAACTACCGTCACTTGAACGAACCCCATTAGCTCGAGAACTGGGATTCGACGAACTGTGGTCAGATTCAAGAGAGACAGGTCTTGTCACAGGACTACTCGTCGCTGGCGGCACTGCAGAATCTAGCTGCATGCTTTGCCGGACCAGTCTAGCTTTCGGTAGTATGGCTGCAAAGTGATAGCAACACCAATTGTCAATTCAAGAACATGAACATCGTCGTCTGGGAAAAGGATGGACTTAACGAATTGGATGATGTGATGGCGTGAGAAGAACACTCGAACCTCACTTGGTAGCATAGTTTTGTGCAGAGATTATCAAAAATAATAGACCAGCGTTACACATGCCGTTGAAAGAACCCACAATGGACGCTTTGAAAACTAATTACCTGCTTCTTGTCGATTGGTACTGGTAGTGTCGGCAGCGACATCAATTTTCACTCGAAGTGCTGAACCCAGACTCTTACGTAGCCTGGTCGAATCATTCAGTCTAGAAAAAATTGCGTCTTGCCAATTTACACTGGTATAGACAACTTTATTTCCATGTTCACAATCACCTTGTAATTTCCCCACTGATGAAACTGACATGGACCTGTTGTGTCTAATCTTCACAATCTCTAGTTGGCTGCCCCGCACGTCCGACTCCACACTCGTATAACCATTGTCGTTTTGGTTGTCCTGAAAGTTGAATCTCAAATTGGAGCTCTGTAGAACCCCGAGTCCATCAGCTGAACCTAAGTTGCCAAAGGTTGCAGATGGTGTAAACCTCCGGGAACTTGATAGGTTTTCAGGTGATCTGCATAAAATAGGTGAGGCAATGCGTTGAATTGGGGATTCAACATGTGTATCGTAGCGCCCTGGACTATGTACTGCTCTTGGACTCTGGTCATGACGCTCTTCCTTGGTAGTACCTTGGCATTTCACCCCAGGGGCGCCATCAAAAGCAAGCTTTCCTTTCAAAATACCACGACTCTTCTTCCTATCCTGTTTAAGCCTTCGGACGCACGCGTCACGGTCTTTATTGCCAGTTACCTGGGCGCCAATAATTTCTGTGAGGGGGACCTCGTGGTGCCTGCTAGCATCTTGAACATGTTAAAGCAAAGCGTACAGAACGCACATCGGTAAGGCAAATTGGAAAAGTAAAGCGACACGTTCTCAGTGGTATGGAAGTAAGAGTGACGGTGGACTCACGAATGGCTGCGATGGAGCCATGGGTCGTCTCTGCATGAAATAAATGAGCGAGAGACAAGTTAACTAAGTGCTTAAGTATGCCATATCCAGAATGATCCAATGACAGTTCTTTGTAACATTCGTTCAGGGGCAATGCACGAAACTGCTGATTTAATTATACGAGACTTTGTGGCAGACAAGTGTGAATTTGTAGCAATAAAAGAACAGTAAATTCGAAGGCCCGAGAAGAAATCATTCGGAGAAAGGAACACATCAACTCTTCTAAAGAAGAAGTTTGTACCCAATGATATCCTACATAAAATTATGAGGTTTCTAAGCCAACATGTCGCCAGGTCTCTGTAAAAGATGTTAGCCGGATTCCTGAAGGAATATACTGGGTTTTTAACAGATTTAAACAAGGGAATGGATCGGTAACTGGGCAAAAATAATGGGGGTGAGTAAAAAGGACCAGAGCTCCAAGAAGCTTACCCAATTGTTCCTGCTCTTGCTAAGGCTTCTTCGGCCTTCAAATCTGCCCATCGTGGGGCATCAATCTCTTCCTGAGTAATGAGAACCAAAGTTTACGGTAAGAAGCAGCGCCTTCGAGAGGCAGGCAGTATCGACTAGGGAAATACTTCGTGTGACTCGATACATTCAAAGGCAGAACGGGGGGGAGTTATTTCTGTTTTCATGAGAAGGGTGGAGGGAGAAAGGATGAATTGAAGCGAGGACCACGCACCAGAAAAGCCCAATGTCTATCATTCTTTGCAGCAGTGGATGCTGGGGACAGTGACAAAGATACGAGCATAGCTTGCCTGTGCATGATGCACTACCGTCAAGGTGCCCCCACTCTGTTACAAAATATAGTCGTGATTGCTTGTGTTGGCCCACAATGTCATGTACTGGGGTTCCATAATACCGAATCACCCGTTGGAAGCCCCTACCAGATTCCGTGGAAGTCCCCAATACCGAACGAGTTCCAGCCCACCCACGAATTTCTGAAATCATACACGAGCCGCTCCAAATGTGCACACAATCTCACGACTGCTTGAAGGAATTTAATAGTCGAAAGTTGAGACGGACCCGTCCTTTCAAACCTTGAATGGAAGAACAATGGATCTCCGGTGGGAGATGTACAACCCGCACTCTATTAATTCTGATGATGAGAAATATAAGCAGAAGGCGGAGGGGAAGCGATAACAATACATCGTAGGAATCAAGTTGCACTCGTCGAAATAAAACAACCCAAGAAGAGCTTCCTTGAGACTTTAAGACATACACCCTAATTTCAAATTGGACAAGTCAATGGATCTGCGTTACTTCGATACTAAATCTTCCACAGGACTAAGTAGAACCTGTGCGCATTCTCCTGTGAAAATCTGCAACGATCCGCATTACATAAACCCTTCAAATCTACAAGAAATTCATTGCACTCCCTCGTTGTCCCCAATTCATTCTTCCGAAGTTCTGAAGCCCCGTGCCACTGTCCGTGTCAAACATCAACCATAGACACACGCTTTCTGCATTACTTGTGGCGCCCACACCGCGCCATACTTTCTTAACTTCACTCTACACAATCTCAACTCGCCTACACTACACTACATCAGACCGAAATGTAAAAGAATTCACATATCTACACCGGCAAGCCTCCTTCGGAATACAGAAACATCAAAACTAAGCGATGCCAAGCACAGCAAAGCACAGCCGAATCAAGCAGAGCCAACACGGTGATTCACTGAAACCTCAAAATTCGGACCCACCAACGGTAACTCTCACACGTCCTATTGGTCCAATGAAATCTTCAGAAACACTAACTTAGTGGTTTCGAAAGTGACAACATTAGATTGATAGCTCGGGCGAGGAAGTCGAATGAAGGTAGAGACAGTGGGAGCGACAAAACTGGGCTCTCAAATGCCAGGGCTCCTTCGAAATTTCCAGTGCACACAAATGGCGCGCATTAACGTTCTAACGCCCGTGTAGCCCGGTAATAACTTTCAAATCTTTCGTTCAACGGAAAAGAAATTACCTTTTCCTGTCCAACCCCAGCCACGGCATTCTCCTGGTGAAATTCCTTGAAGAATCGGAATGTTGACAAAATACCTATTTCCAACAACGGAAACAAAGCGATGGTTTTAAACGCATTCACCACTCATCAGGCCCACTATCACGCATGGCTGTAAATTGTGATGCGCAGGCTTTAATCTCCCTCTCGGAAAGTCAAACCATGGAATAGAATACGGATCAACCCAATCAGGCGAAGCATCACCACTGGAAAGCAACAGCCATTGGAATTACTCTCGCTTCCATTGGTTCTCACTACTAGCATTGCACAACCTTATTTTTGTCACCGCTTGGAACGATGACGATGGTCCCCCATTCATTAACAGGTTTCAGTATGTCATAATTGAAACTCAAGGTTGCACTGTGCATTTTTCGAAGACTCAGGAATATTTTTCAAATTCTCACCGCTCAGGGGACGATTTTATTAGCTCCAATTTTTCTCTAGACTTTTGCAATTTATTACTATGAGCGCTTGTTGATTACTGTATGGAGTAGGCATGGAGGAATTCTGGCTCTGACAGTAATTGCATTGGACTGTCAGAGCCAGAAGGAGATTTGAAACACCTTCGAAATTTGAACTTAAACTCAGATTTGGGACACTTTTCCTGCAAACTGGCAGTGCGACATCTGTCTCCGTTGGGTCCTACCAGATTGAACGATGATTTTATCCCCTGTACTGATAACCAACAATCCTCATTCCAGAATCTTGTTGGTGAAGCTTGGTGCTGCACAACCAATCTTCGGAAAATGGAGAGGCCAAGGCAACTAAAAAAATCAACCACTCAAAGGGCACAAGAAATCGGAATTGCGCCACTGATCACGCCATGAATGTGAGCTGATTGTCAGAAAGAAAGCACGTTCTTGAACTCTGGAGAAAGAAATATCTGTTCAAGATCGTTGAGAGGAAAATATAACAGTGGTCGTAAGATCACCTACTTGTGGTCGCTGCACAATTCCTCAAGCCGCCCGATTACATGGAAGCTGGCTGCCACCGGACACAGCAACTGAAGCACATTTCTACGTCCTTCAGACAGTCAACCCAGCCATTCACATGAAGTGGGTTCCTCCAGTGCCACTGTTCTCAGTTTGTAGCTCTCGAGAAGTTCGCGGCATGATCAACCTCACGTTTACGGTGAGGTACATGCTAGGTTCTTCCACACCCATGTGACGATGGCATGTCGATGTAAGCCAAGCGAAGCGCCATCTCAGCATTGACACTGCTGCTAATCTTAACCCTAATCATAGTTTCCCTACTAAGATTAAGGTGAAATACGCTGGCAACGAACATCATAGGATGTTGAGAGATTCGGAGAAGTTTGTATGCTGAAGAAATCTTAGTAAGGGCTACGGTTGTGCCATCAATTCGAACCAAACCAAATCTGTACAAAAAGAGGGAAGAGAAATTAACTGATTCCATGCGTTCTACCGTGGCCGTCGGTGGTTTGAGTTTGGGTGAAGCACAGTTTGGGAATCGACCGACATGTAACTCCTCGCGCTTTCGATGCGAATGCTCTCGTCCCTGTCGGACTTGAGCTTCTCCTCCTTTTGATGCTCCACGAGGTAGTCTTTCCGAACCTCCCACAGCACTTCTGCTGCCTTCTTCATACTTGGCCTGTCCACCTTCGAGGACGCAGAGCATGCGAATGCAAGCTCAGCCAATCGTTCGATGACGCTTAACACCGCTGGTGTTTTCTCGAGCTTGGGGTCAATAATATCGCTCAGTTTCCCCAGCACAAACTTTCGGAATGCCCAAAGAGCGGTTACGCGCTCATCACTTGGCCTCTTCAGTTCAATCGGCCGCCTTCCAGTGAATATCTCTAAAAGCAGAATGCCGAACGAGTAGACATCGCTCTTCGCATTCAACTGGAATGTGTTCAAATACTCAGGGTCCAAGTAACCTGCAAATTGATTGCCATAGCCAAATGGGTAGAACTTCCAACCTAGCGCATTAAACCATTAACAAATAACACGTAACGCTTAAAGGGTTTGAGCGCTCGATGATCTTACCTACAGTTCCTTTCACTTGGGTGGAGACGTGGGTTGCCCCGGCGTCTACGGACGGACCAACTCGCGAGAATCCAAAATCTGCAACCTTAGCACGGCAAGTGCTAGTGAGGAGAATGTTCGACGATTTGATGTCTCTGTGAATGATGGGCCTGTCGGCATATAGATGGAGGTAAGTCAGGGCATGCGCAACGTCAATGGCAATGTCGAGCCGTGTGCGCATGTCTAAAACTTTGCTGTACGTGCCGTCGAGATGTTCACCGAGGTTGCCATTAGCGACATAATCCACAACAAGGATACGCTCATCATCCTCTTCCGTGTAACCGATCAGCTTGACTAGATTCAAATGATCCACCTGCAAACCATCAAGTCCCTCAGATAGTTAGGAACGCTGTTCTCTACCCGGTAGCTATTACTATGGTTATGGATGCAGCACAATCTGCAGATAGAGCTCGACTGGGGGGGGGGGGGGGGGGG